TATGCTGTGTATTGAGTGGTGCTAGTTAGTTGTTCTGAAGAATTAATTTTCCACGTCTCTATCTCGTTTCACAGTTTAGTAACTAATGCTGTTTTTATAACAGTTGACTTTGGTGTGAGTGCACAGTTGGATCGCACGATCGGACGGCGCAACACATTCATCGGTACGCCGTACTGGATGGCACCTGAAGTGATAGCATGCGATGAAAACCCAGATGCGACATATGACAACCGAAGTGACCTCTGGTCTCTGGGTATCACGGCTCTTGAGATGGCCGAATCTCAGCCCCCTTTATGTGACCTTCATCCTATGAGGGCACTCTTCCTTATTCCCAGGAACCCTCCGCCTAGACTGAAATCAAAGAAGTGGGCCAAGAAGTTCCATGGTAAGTGTCCCTCAACAGTTGAGTGTAAAACTATGGTTTGTATTGACTGTGACGGTTGTCTTACAGATTTCCCCGTAGTCCACATCGGTCCATTAGCAATCGGATTTGCGCTGCTGCCATTTGGGTGGTTTCTGACCATGCAGGAACATTTGCCTTTTTACTGCCATTGTCTCCACGGGGTGTTTTTCGTGGTTGTCCCCTGGCATTTTGGTTGTTGGAATTAGTACAGGCCATGCTGGATGTTTTCATAAAACTTAATTTTATAGCCCTGAATATGAGCACATGATAGAGATAAATTGGCTCGAAGTAAGTTTCAGTGAGTTGGTATTAGCAGTATTTAGTTTGCAGGTTGCAGTCTTGGGGAATTGGTCGTTTTTGGAGAAATGCGTACACTTCTGTTTATAACAGGTTTCATTGAGACGGTCCTTGTGAAGGACTATCACCAACGCCCGTACACGGAACAACTTCTAAAGCACCCATTCATCCGGGACCAGCCGACCGAACGGCAAGTTAGGATACATCTCAAAGACCATATTGATCGCTGCAAGAAGAGGAAACAGGAGAAAGGTAACAAAACTAACGTGGTTTATCATTGCTGGAAGTTCTCGTCTTTATATTTCTTTATGGAATTAGAGTTACTGGCTATTTGTCCACTTACAGATTTCTGTGTTAGGAAAAGGTCTGCATGGCATATTTTTCATCGTAGAAAGTAGGTGACTCCCAGGGCTTCTCTAAGGGTTGAGGCAAACCTGGGATTTCCCCTTCGGTTCTTTGTCGTACCCCATTTTGCCTCACTTACGGGCTTTGCTGGGTAGCAAAATCCCTGGGCTTATACTTTCTCATGTTAGGTCATGAAGGCATGAGGAGGACTGGGACTTTCCCCAAGGGGCTTCTTCACCCATGGGAACCGGCCACCTCTGTTATGTGGGTAGTAAAAATGTAGCCTAGAAGGGTGGATATTGTAAGAAAAGTAATGTGGCTGATGAATGTAGAGTTCTAGTTCAAATTTAGCTTAGTGATTTTTAAGAAATGGGTCTCTAATACCGAGCATTTTATCTTATTTTGTAAAAATATGATGCTGTAATTCAAAATTAATGAATGAGGTAACTATTTTTAGGAATAATTTGTTTTACGAATAATATGTTGTTATGGGCATATGAAGGCTTGGTTTTAATTTGATATTGTGTGAAACAGAACGAGAGGACTACCGGTATAGCGGATCGGAGAATGAAGAAGAGGAGCCAGCAATAGCAGGAGAACCTTCCTCCATAGTTCAAGCGCCTGGTGGTGACACGCTCAGGAGAAATTTTCAACAAATCCAGGTACTTCTTACTGAACATATATTTCAAAGTGAGAAAGTCATTCTAAATTAAGAGGTTCATTTTACCAAACCAGTTTTTGTAGTCTGCAGGGGTTGATTGATTTATGCTGGATATGAGTTCTTTACATAGAAAAGTAAGACATTGAAGTTTCTGCTGTCCCCCCCCCCCAGGTTATAATGCTGTTGGAGGATATATCTGATAACATCTCAAAAATTGTTGTGTGGTTTCTGGTTAACATAGCATGTAATAGATCCCCAATGATGGAAATGTGTTGTTCATCTAATTGCTGGTGTTTCAGGAAGGTAGAACATTGACACAAACTGAATCGAAGGAATCAAAACACAACTGGAAAGCGGAACGAGAGGAAATACCAGAACCTGGTCCCCCAGCCAGGCCCCCCATACCACAGAGACTCATTGGTGAGTTCAAATGTAACATGGAATGGAATTCCCATTGAAGATTTATCTGAGAGTGGACTTGACCACAGAATTGGGGGATTCCTTAAATGGTATTCATTTATTTTAACAAGCCGTTACTCAGTTGAGAAATTCATATGAAAGTGTGGGTTGAAAACTGGAGGTATGAGACCACTTGATGTACACATGAATGGAGAAATAAGGTGGGAAGATTGCGGACAGGACTTGTTTGGGTCAGGATATGGACCATTGGCAGGCTGTTGTGAAGACGGTAATGAATCTTCAGGTTCCATAAAAGGTGACAGAGCAACTACTGTGTTCTGAAGGACTGTGCTGTGTGGGCTTGGTGTGTTGGTGTATGCAATAAACTATATTTGGTATTTGAATAAAACTAATATATTTAAGTATTCACAAAACAGCACATCTAGTTGTGTATTGGAGGTGGGATGATACGTTATTATGAAGCATTTTATCCGCTACCTTGCATTTAGTTGTGCCAGATCCTCACCCCCCATCGCGACCACTTCCACCTCCACCGAGGGAGGATCGCCAGCAGAAACCTGCGACTCCTCCTGCAGGAGCCGTGAGCCACCAGCAGCCCTCGTCTGCAGCTCCGCAGCCTCAGCAACGGAACTCACACATTTTCAAACCCATGGTGAGAAGTCTGTATTCATCACCGCCTCTTTGACTATCTAGCTAAACCTCCTTGGAGCGTGGGTATGTGACCAGTTAAGTGAACAGCCGTCTGTCACTTCCCCCGAAATATTAAGAGGATCCATGTGTGTTTTGACTTAGACTAAAGCCCTGTGGCCAGCTTTTGTGTTCCTGATGCATGACTTCATTGCTTGGCTGTGCACATTATTAACGTGTTCCTTTAATTCCACCTGGTTTTGACTACATTCTAGAAACTTGTTTGTGATTACTACAATATGATTATAGTTGTCAGCTCTCAGTTAGCAAGTTTACTTCTAAAACAAAAACAGATGCTTATAAATTATAATAAAACTTACCAGTTAATGAATGGACCCTAAACATCGACTCCCACTGGAGCACTCATGGATTCTCCTGTTACGTTTTCAGCGTCTCCCAGTTTGCCTTCTCGATCCCCTGCTTCTTTGTCACTTGTTTAATTCTGATACTGTAACTAGCTGTCTGACTTCGCAGTTTACCTGTACTGTAAAACCTGAGATTTTGTGTTATTTGTTTGTTTGTACAACATTGTTGCAAATATAAGCATCTCTTTGTATAATGAGCTTTCAAGTTATAAGAAAGGCAGGGAATTTCGTGTCCAGTTGAGCAAGTATCAGCTTCTCAAGAAGGGCTCTTTCCATGGAGTTGATTCGTTGGTTACATAATTCTGTATTCAGCCTATTGAATCATGTTAATTTGGAGTTTGCTTTCAAACTGATATATTGAATGGAATTAGAATTTTCAATGTAAGATTTGAGGTTTTCACAGCGGTGAGTATGAAGATTTCTGTCTTCTGGGTTGTTGCGCTGTGTAGTCTGGTCGATGTTTACCAATGTTTCAGAGGTCATACTGTTATCACCCTGATGACGGAGGCAGTATGACCTCTGAAACGTTGGTTAACATCGACCAGACTACACGGCGCAACAACCCAGAAGACAGAAATCTTTGCGAATTTTCAAGTTTCTAAAGGATTTGGAACTCTTTTAACAGTGTCTGACTGCCCCATAGTTCATGTACACATTGAAATACTATGGACAGTAATAATTGACTATTTATGTGAAAATGTGTACATATTGCCACAGAAGCAAAGTACTTAAGGCAAGAATAAGTGTCTATTCTCACTCCCAGAACATTTATTTATTAATATATATTGATGTTTGCTAAGACTCTTCATTGTGCAAGCTGTCACTTATATTTGTAACAATATATTCCATATATGGTACATATGTTAACCCTGCATGCTGTGCTTTGTAATCTGATTTGTAGGAAAATGATATAATTTTTAATTACTACTGTGAACACATACATTTCTAGATGGCATTTGTACTTATTGTAAGTGTGTTTTTTTGCTTGTATTTACACACTTGTTTCATTTGCTGTCCACACCTAATTCCAAGTTTTTCTCTCTCTGTTTGATTTAAGCTTCCTCCAAGAAGACCAGAGGTATGCACAAAACCTGTTTCTTTTATATTTCTCTGTTTTCTCAAGAATTCATTTATTATATGGTTGCTTGTTAGTGTCGCAAAATAAAATTAAGATAGGAACCCATTGACAGTATTTTGGGCTTTTGCTTATTACGTTCGGGGAAAGTGGTTCAGGATGAAGGTTTAACTTATATTGTTTAAATTATTCAAGAGAAATCTGGGAAGACAAAAATATTTAAGTTGGGTTAAATAGAAAGTAAGGTGCACATAAAAGAGGAGTGTATAGATTTTGACCCTGAAGGCAGAAGCAGCAGATTCCTGCAAAAGTTTGTAACTACCTCCAAGACAACACGGTGTCGCAACCGAGAAGACATTGATCTGACCTCTCACAACTGTGAATACCTCAAGTCTCGTATGGTGAAGAGACTTAACATATGACACCAAATACAGATTAACCAAAACAGAATGAGTGTGCCCTTGCAGGTTTCCAGAGAGGTTATAAAATTGAGAGCTTTTTCCCCGGTACGTTTGTGATAGCGAACATTTGCTAACCACCTGCCTCCTTCGTTCTGGAGCTGTCTGTTGCTGTTGGTCCATAAATTTGCCATCCCTCTGAGCTGCTGTAGTCGATAATCGCGTCTGTGAATATGTACCTGTTCAAATTTTTGTCCATCTTGTCATGTTCTCTTCCCAGTTATTTTCATCTTAAAGCATTGTTTTGGGAAATGTAAGTTAAATCTTCAACGCTTGAACCTCTTTGATAAGACTGGCTGCATGTGCTGACCTCACAGAACTAGAGCAGAGCAAGAAGACTCCGTGCAGCATCCGTTGCCATTGCCACCGGACTAACATTACTGTACATACTGACAATGTGAGTACCACTTTATTGACGATTGTCTTTCAGGCAGAAGCGCAGGATGGTTCAGAATCTTTCACGGCAATCGGATGAGTGAAGTATTTGAGTAACAGTAATGAATTGGCACTAGCACAGTATTTGATGGGAGTAAAATGCTTTATTTGTACGTAGAGTAATATATAAGTGAGATGCAAAAGTTTCCTTTTTTCAGTGCATAGAATTTAGCAGCTGTTGTAGTCCGGCAGATGAAAGCGGGGTAGATATCAATGTGTAGTCAATACTGCTAGTGCTTCATGTTTGGGAGGTACCCATTTTAAATCTATTTGGTTGGGCTGTCCTGAAACTGTTTTGTGGTTTTCCTGCCAGTGAATTTTTGTTCTGTTGTCTTTGCAATTTTGGCAGCATTCTTAAAATTTTTAAAGTAATGAAACTTTTGTTAGGTGTCATTCCAGTTTCTTAGCATAAGTAAATGCTTCCATTAGATTCACTACATTTTACTGTTTTCTTGAGTCTAGTATCTGCAAATAGATTTTTGTAAAATTTTATGCCGGGATTTCTTAATACATTTTCAGTCTCTCTCTTTTAAACGTATGAACCATCTTATGTATGTAAATATCTATGCATGTTAAAGTATATTGCATAAGAAACCATATTTCATCACATTATCCACTTCATTTTGTAATTCATGCCCCTCAGTTTTTCACTGTGAATGTAAGAAAAAATGGTTTACAGTACCGTATGTTTTGTGCAGTCAGTTCTTACGTGTGAAAAATAACGTAAGTGAAAGGTGTTGTCACAGTTATGAAAGAAGCAGCAGCAGATATAAAATCTGCAGAGAGTAACACAAGCGAGAAGATGTTTCTGGCACAGTTTGGCAAGATTCATTCACTTTCGTGTGCCATGTGTCATGTGATCTGCATTCGGAATTTGCACGTGAAGCAATGTGCTGCCACAAGGCATGGATCACAATATTTGTGTTACACTCATCATGCCATACTTTTATTTTCCGTCGTTACACAAGCTTATTGTTAAAAATCATATAAAATTTCACATAAAATTGTTACATTTTAAAATGTAACAATTTTATGTGAAATTTTATATGATTTTTAACAATAAGCTTGTGTAACGACGGAAAATAAAAGTATGGCATGATGAGTGTAACACAAATATTGTGATCTGAAATTGAGGAACTTGTTAGTTGATTTGGCGATTAAGGTTTTACTTAATTGAAAACATAATTGTGGAACTTAGAATGGAAGATGTTTTTACATTGTATGCAGAAAATAACATTGTACTTACGGATATGAAGTATTCACAGGAATTTATCTGGTGATTGCCATGTGAGAAAAGAGTTAACATCATCCAACTCTTTCCTCACACATTTGGTCACCCAAGAAGACCGAATTGCATTATCAGCATTTCAGTGAACTGTTCTTTAAGGAATTTTTCTTGGAACTTGAAGTGGCTTTGATTTTGCTTATCAGTAGTGTTCTGTAACTTGTTCCTGATTTGTTTGTGTTGATGTTAGTATAGACATGCTCAGCATTGTAATGGTTTGCATTGTAATGCCCCAGGATTTGGACATGCTGGCTGCTCAGCTGAATGAATTGGGCGTTGCCCAGCCAGAGGCGCCAGCCCGGTCACGGCAGAATGGAAAGTCTTCGTTGTCGGCTGTTGGAGGAAGTTCATCGCACAGTGCCCTCCCGGCACCACCCTCTTCCCTTCCGCAGTCCACGTCTTCTATCCTGGATGCAGCTGTCGAGTCAGATTCAGATGAAGGGGAAGATGGTATAGGCGTTCGCAATGATGGTACCCTGTTGGCTAGTGACCCCCCGAAACCACTGTAAGTGATTACGTTCACATGCATTGCTAATCTAGGCCACTTAACTTACCACAATTTTCTGGGAATAAGCTGCCTCTTCTGTCACTTAATACATTTACATAACCAGTATAACAGTGATTTCATTGCTGATAAAAATTTTAATGAAGCACCAGAACCAGTTCTGTCTGTAGTCTTTTGTGTCTGACTTTATTGATTGTTATTTGGAAGTATTTGATATTCATACAATTTAGAAACTGCCCCAGCAGTGGTGAGGTAAATAAATGTTTAAAGCATGTTGCTTATGTAACAGAATTTGTCAGTTTATCTTAAAAACTTGAAAAATAAAAACGTGTACTATTTGGTATATATCAATCTCGTGGCCGGCAGCAGTGGCCACACGGTCTGAGGCAGGGACCTCGTGCTCCTGGCCGCTGGGACTTTGGGTTCAAGTCCCACTCAAGGCATGGATGTTTGTCCGCATCCATTCTCTTCCAGTCTGATGGATAAAGACTGGCCACGGAAGGCAAGGCGAAACCACCGTGATATCTTCGCAAGAAACAATCCCAAAATGGGGTTGCAAACCAATCCTAGGATTGTTAACCAAAAAAAATCAATCTCTTTGCTAGCTGACACTGGAAGGTTCAGTTAAAATGGTTATTTTAATACAAATGTAAGTTGGAGTTTCTCATCTATTGAAGTGTTTTCATAATGACTCCATGTGCCTTATACTAATTAAAATGTCTGAGCCTTATTAATACAAGTTTTTCTTTTCCTGCCTTCCCTCTTCTCGGCCATTTTCCGTCTGTCCCATTCATTCTTTTCTCTTTGTCTCGACTTTTGTTGCTGCAGTCCCGAACTTTCTCCTTACAGGCCGCTGGATGCTTCTCACACGCCCCAGACAATGGTAATTCATGAAGGTGAGTTGATTTTCATTTTGTTTTGCAAAGTAAAACTTTTCTGTAAAGAAGTACTGTGTTATGGGAATTTTGTTACTTAGTTCAGTCATTTAAGAGTCTGGATCTTTAAAGCTCCTTGCTGTATGTTTGATTAGAAATATATAGCACCAGTTTTGATATTTTAGGGATAAAATATCAGCACTTCATGATCCAAGTAATTGTCATATAGAATAGAATTATTTAAAAGAACTGCTACAATTTATAATTATAATGTTTTATTTGCAGCAGTACCAGAAATGAAGGTGCATGTATATACAGTGCCTATTTCTTGTGAAAATTGCTTCACGTAGACTGACGAAGGCGAAGTATTATTTCTTGTGTCAGGGTGAAACATTTGACTAACGAGTTTCCTATTGAGAATGGTTTAAAACAGAGATGCTTTTATCACCAATGTTCTACAGTTATGCCTTATATTACACCATTGAGAAGATCCTACAAAATGAAAAGGATTGGAATTGAAAGGGATGTATCAGCGTCTGTTCCGTCCTGATGATAATTTATTTGGTGAAAACATATGTGTCACAAAAAGAAACTGTGGAAGCTGTATTAGATGCTAGAGAGGAAAGTTGGTCTTGAAGTAAATGCAGAGAAAATGAAGTGCATGTTTGTTTCTCATCTCTTTAACCTCTTCAGTAGTGCCCC